TTCCCCCTCAACACACACACACACACACACACACACACACACACACACACACACACACACACACACACACACACACACACACATGCTATGTGGGAAAAGCAATGTCACTCCTGTCCAAATAGATATGCCCATGTCTTAAAAACGGAGGAAACAAGGGAGAGGGAAGGAGGAGGTGGAGATGAAAAGAGCAACTGCAAAGGAGAGGGATGCAGGACAACGCACCAGCGGAACACTGAATCAGCCGATTGATCAAGAAAACAGTGGGCAAGAGTGGACAGAGAACGGCCGAAAGTTGAAGGGGAGGCGAGGTAGCGGATAGGAGATGGGAGGTGGAGAAGACAAACGGGAGAAAAGGGAGCTCTGGAGGGAACGACTGATATGGGAACGACACCATATCAGTCAAGCAGACGAGTAATGGAAAGCTGGCAAATTGACCTCCACCTCTCCTACCCCACTTCACACCTCCAATGCATCCTGCATCCTGCTCTTTCTCTCCTGAACACCACGAGAAGCAGGTCTTCACAACGACACTAGCGGTTAATGGAAGGCCTGAAATTCGGGGTTTTTCGCTGAAATAGGGAGACGGATGCACTCCCAGCGCAAACGGAACGGACTTTCTGTCACTTACATGATTGGCTCGTAAAGTTGGATAGTCAATGGATATGAGCAAGGAGAGGAGAAAGAGGGAGGAAAGGATTCGTCAAAGGTGGGGGGGAGAGTGGGATTTTTGCTGATTGAAGGTAGGAGAAAGAGGGAGGAAAGGATTCGTCAAAGGTGGGGGAGAGTGGGAGTTTTTGCTGATTGAAGGTAATGAATGGACAATCGGCAAACCCAACGTCTCTTTCCCTCTCTGCGTTTACTTCCTCCTCTTCCCTCATCTCCTTGTCAGATGTCCCTTCCCATCGTCCTCCTCCTCGTCCCCCTCTCCCACCTTCTCCACGCCCTCCTACCTTCCCTCTTCATTTCGTTTAGGATCGACAGTGTGTCAAAGAGAGTGCATCAGTGTCGTCAACAACAAAGCAGACTCCACGCTGTCGCCTCTATAATCAACTGACGCAGCCTTTAGGGAAATGCCTCCCCGTCTACTCATGCATATGCTCGGAGAGTGTAATCAGAGCTAAGTGGGAAGGGAGGGCGGGCACCATAACTCTCAGATCGCTCACTCCTCTCCGCCCCCCCCTGCTTTCTCTCTCTCTCTCTCTCTCTCTCTCTCTCTCTCTCTCTCTCTCTCTCTCTCTCTCTCTCTCTCTCTCTCTC